ATCCTCGCCCCGCCCTGCCCTTTCACTATCCACTGAACCAAACCAGGCAGGGCTCAAGTTCAGAATTTTAAAGGAAACTATTTTCCATTTACACACACTCCAGTGATGATCTCATTCAAACTCATGGCTTTAAATACCATCTATGTGCTAATGACTCCCAAATTGATTGATATCTTCAGCGTAGACCTCTCTCCTTCAAACCCTTACCTTTTACCTCTCAACATCTCTATTGTAATGAACATTTCAAACTCTTCATACCCCAAAATGACCTCCAGATAGTTCCCCCCAAAACTAGCACCTCTCTTGTTTTTTCCATCTCAAGAAATGGCAACATTAGTCGTCTAATTGTTCAGGTAAAAAATCTTGGCTCCCTTCTTCCTCTGATATTCTACATCCAGTCTGTCAGCAAACATTGCTGTCTCTACTTTCTAGATATAGTAGACTCTTGAACAACATGAATTTGAACTGCAAAGTCCACTTATACATGGACTTTTTAAATCTCTATTCATACTGTTTTTGACTCACGTTTGGGAGTCCACAGATTTGGAGGGATATATATATATATATTGATCAAAATAGGTGATGTCTGTGGTGGGTCCTGGAACCCAATCCCTTGCAGATACTGAGGGACAACTTAAGTTTTTTTTGTGTTTTTTTTCCCAAATATATTTTATTGATTTTTTTACAGAGAGGAAGAGAGAGGGATAGAGAGTTAGAAACATTGATGAGAGAGAAACATCGACCAACTGCGTCTTGCATACCCCCCACTGGGGATGCGCCCACAACCAAGGTACATGCCCTTGACTGGAATCGAACCTGGGACCTTTCAGTCCGCAGGCCGACGCTCTACCACTGAGCCAAACCGGTTTCGGCCAACTTAAGTTTTGAGAGAGCGAAAAGTTATATGCAGATTTTCAACTGTGCAGGGTTCGGTGCATTGTTCAGGGTCAACTATATATTCAAAATTCAATCACTTCTCACCCCCCACCTCTGCATTATTATAATAGGCTCCCAATTGGTCTCCCTGCTTATTCTACTGCCCCTTAGAAATCTAGTCTTCCTAGAACAGTCAGAGTAGCTCTGTTAAAAATATAAATTAGATTGTGTGGATCTTCTACTCAAAACCCTTCACTAGGATCCTCAACATGGAGTAAAAGCCAAAGTCCCTAGTATTACCTGATAGTCTTCTATCTGGCTCCTGCTACCTCTCTATCTTCTCCTACTCTCCCCAGGACACACTCTGCTCCAGCTATTTCTAGGCCCTTTGCACTTACTGCCCCTGAAATGCTCTTCCCTAAATATCAGAATAGTGTTCTCTCTCTTTTTCTTCAGAACTTTCTTCAAAAGTCACCTTCCCTGCAAGGACTTTCTTAGCTCTCCTATCTAAAATAAAACCTATTGCCCACAAAAATGATTAAGTAAGTAACTAATTAAAATAAAAACTCCCCTGCCAGTGTTTTATTTCCACGACTCCGGTTTATTTGTTCTCCTTAGTATTTACTGCAATCTTAAACTACATGTCTTCTTTATCTTTATTGTTTATCTATCTCATTAGATTAGAAACTTCTTGAGGAGAGAGGTGTTTTGTTTTTTTCAATCCTTACCTGAGAATATTTTAAAATTGATTGGCTGGGGGGGGGGGGGGGGGGGGGGGCGCGGAGAAACACCAATTGGTTGCCTCCCACAACCTAGGTATGTTTCCTGACCAGGAATCAAATCTGCAACCATTTGGTGTGCGGACAAATACTCCACCAATTGAGCCATCCGGCTAAGGTGAGAAAGATTTTTTTTTGGTTCCTTTTCTTCATTATTGTATACACACTACTTAGAATACTGATAGGCACATAGTGAGGCACTCAATAGGTATTTATTGAACGGATGAGTGAAAATGATGGCCATTTCCAAGAGGCAAATTTTAACCTTTTTTTAAAAAAAGTCTTTTTTTTTTTTTTTTAATTGGTTTCAGAGAGGAAGGGAGTGGGAGAGACAGAAACATCAATGATGAGAGAGAATCATTGATTAGCTACCTCCTGCATGCCCACAGTGGGGATTGAGCCTGCAAGCTGGGCATGTGCCCTGGGCCAGACTCAAACCAGACTCAAACCCAGGACCCTTCAGTCCACAGACAAACACTCTATCCACTGAGCCAAACCGGCTAGGGCCAAATTTTACTTTTTAATGAAAAAACTTTTTAACAGAGAAGAAGGCTGGGCAGAGATTAAGATGGCAGTTGAAGAGGAAACAATTCAGGGGAAAAGACTTGTTAAAGGTCACACATCTTGTTGGGGAAGGAATATATATATATATATATATATATATATATATATATAATTTTTTTTTTTTTAATTACTAGCACTGGAAGAGGCTGATAGGCTGATGGGTGATGGAGCTTAATGGAAGTTGGGTATGAAAGACCTCTTGCTAGAAGACATGAGGATCTCTGAAAAGGATGGTGAATCAGAGGTTGCAAGAACAGAGACATCATCAAAACAAAAATAGAAAAAACAAGATCAAAAATAGAAAGGAAAAAAAAAGAGATATCAGCAAAAACGTGGAAGTGAGGGTTAGGCTAACCACTAATCAAAAGGACAGCTGAATGTCTCAGCAGCAGAGGAATTCAGCTGTGCCCAAGGCTGATTAGTCACTTAGGCCCTTGAATAATTTCAAATACAGAACTGGACCAGCAATCTTTTTTTTTTTTTTTTTTAAATATATTTTATTGATTTTTTTTACAGAGAGGAAGGAAGAGAGATAGAGAGTTGGAAACATCCATCAGCTGCCTCCTGCACACCTCCAACTAGGAATGTGCGTGCAACCAAGGTACATGCCCTTGACCAGAATCTAACTGGGATTGACCGTAGGACGCTCTATCCACTGAGTCAAACCGGTTTCGGCTGGACCGGCAATCTTAAGAAACAAGTGAGACCTCTGTCAGTCTTCAGTCTTGCTTTCCCACTGGACTGTGAGGTGTTTTGGGTAGGGACCATTTCCTGGATATATCTTCAGCTTCTTGCAGAGCCTGGATTATAGTAGGGACACAAATATAGGGTGTCCCCCAAAAAATGTATACACACTTTGAATGATTATAAAGTTAGTATTGTTGTTTTTTAATATATTTTATTGATTTTTTGCAGAGAGGAAGGGAAAGGGATAGTTAGATATCCGTGAGAGAGAAACATGGATCAGCTGCCTCCTGCACGCCCCCTACTGGGGATGTGCCCCCACTCAAGGTACATGCCCTTGGCCAGAATCGAACCTGGGACCCTTCAATCCGCAGGCCAAGGCTCTATCCACTGAGCCAAACTGATTAGGGCTAAAATTAGTGTTTATTAATATACAATTCATTTTCAAAATTTAAAAGGATCTACAGAAATGAATGTTGTGGGGTCGAACCCTGGGTTCAAAATAAGACCACTGGAGGCTGATGATTTATTAAAAAAAAGCAGGCAAGAATTTATTGAAATATCTGGCCAGAGCAACCGCAAGAGTACCACACACAGGTGGACCCTACATGACCGCGCTGCTTTAGGGGCAGATAGCTATGTTTAAAAGTTCTGAGAAGGAAAACCCCCATTCTGTAACAAACTGTTGTTTGGAATTTTTTGCTGTTCTTCCTAGATAAAATGTTGCTTTCTAGTTTGCTTTAGCCTATTTGAAGAATGATGAAGATAAACTTAGCTGTCTGACCTTGTAGGCCAGAGACCAGATATGCCCACAATCTCAATACCATGCCAGGTGTACTTTTTTTAATTGGATAGAACAGCATTGTTTTTCAAGGCCAGCATCCAGATAACCACTAAGTATACATAGGGCTGGCTCTTTAATAAAAAAAAAGGAAGTTCTGCCTGTAACCTTGCTTAGAATTTGAATTCATTCTATTTCAATGAATACTTTTGTTGTTGTTCAATGCGTTTTCAAACTGGTGACCATTCTGCCAATAATGTGAAGCAACGTAATCACAAACATCAAGAATCATTTCGTTCAGTATTTGTGCACCCTCAATTTGTCAACTGTTGCCAGTTTTGTACCGTAAACTTATCTTTTATGTTTTCCCATAAAATAGTCCAGTGGATAAACTTTTTGTTCAGAGCTTAGTCTGGCTTCACCCATTATTTCAAGTCAGTTAAACCTGAAAAGGAGTAAAAATTAAGTATTAGCTGTTAAAGTGTATACATTTTGTCCCCCCAAATGTTTACACTCTTTAATTATAAAAGCAGTGTTTGTACTACAACTGTGTATTCAAACTTCCAATAGCATTTTAGGGATGAATTTCTTTTCTTTTTTTTCTTTTTTTTTGGTTTGTTTTGTTTTTGTTAGTTTTTATTGATTTCAGAGAGGAAGGGAGAGGGAGATCAATGAAACATTATGAGAATCATCTATCGGCTGCTTCCTGTCTGCCCCCTACTGGGGAAGGAACCCACAACTGAAAGTCCGGCATGTTCCCCCGTTCTGACTGGGACCTGGGACCCTTCAGTCCACAGGTCGAGGCTCTATTCATTGGACCAAACCGGCTCGGGCTGAATTTCCTTTGTTCAAAGCTTAGTCTGGCTTAAAAGAAAGAAACATAAATTGAGCTATCAACTGTTAGTGTGTATACATGTTTTTGGGATACTCTGTATTTTCGCGGGAAGCTTACATAAATGAACGTATGCGCCAAACCGGACCCTGAGAGTGACAGAGGACAGACAGAAACTGTTTAAAACCACCTAGCGATTCTGGGTCAGAAGCCCATTAATTTTCCTAGTACACAGCACAGCAAACAGGCCCACCGCTGCCGCAGGGGACACCGAGCCGTTTTCCAACTCGGGTTGGCGTGCAAGTACCGTCCGTAGGAAGAGGGGCGGGGTTAAGTGGAGCCTTAGGCAAGGGCTCCGGGGAGCCGGGCAGATCGGAGAGGCCGATTGGCTGGGCTTCAAGGCGGGGCCAACAGAGAAGGCGCAGCAAATTTCCGTCTCCAACTACGCGACTAGAGTGTGTGACGTCACGTCCTGTCTGGTGGGCGGGAACGGGGAAAAACAAAAGGAGGCCAATGACGCATGCGCTCGGTGTGTCCCAGGTTCTGGTGGGTCCTTCCGCTGAGGCGGAGTCAAGTGCTTCCGGGTCACTGCCGGCTGCCGCCTCCCTGCGCGGTAAGTACAGAAGCAGGACTGCGTCTGCAGTCTCTTCGCCCCTTTCTTTCTTCCCCATAGACACCCCGCTTCCCTGACCCGACTCCACCAGAGATCCGGGCTTAGACTGCCCTTTCAATATTAAACTGCGCCAGCGCATTGGCCGCTTCCGCGAGACCAAGCCCCACCCCGTCACACAAGGTCCGTCACTCATTGGTCTCATATCTTGTCACTCAGCATTTCTTCCAGTTAATTGGCCCTATTCAAGCCCCGCTCCTTTCGCCTTTAGCAACCCTATAAGGGTAAATGCGTCTCCGAAACCCGCCCCTGCCTTTTCCTATTGGTCAGCCTCACGGTCATTATCATAATGAGCAAAGAATGGGCGGTGGCTTTGCGGCGCTCGTTTGGGTTTTGGAACTTGGGTCTCTGTGCCTCTCAGTAATTCTGGGGCATGATGGTTGAGACTGATGTACCTGTTAGGTGGTCTGGGAAGCTCAGCCCTGAGTCAGTCAAATAAGCTAGGGCAAAAGCAGAAATAGAGACCTACATCCCTTTCTCCTGCTCACCGCTAGGACCCGGACTGGACCTCCCCGCCGGAGTTCTGTGCGTCAGTTCACTGTGACCTAGAGCCCAGTCGTTGCCTGTTGCTGAGCCTCAATTTTCCTGTGAGCCGAACGGTTTTAATTCATATTCTCTGGCACCTTCTTGGTCAGCTCCCTCAGCTGATTAATCCGAACTGAATGTACTTGTTCTCTCACATGTTAGTTCATTCAACCTCCCATCTACTTATTTACACATTTACCAATGCCTTTAGAATGGAATGTATTAGTGAGTCATACTTGCACGCCTCCTTGCCCCACCAAAAAAAAAAATTTTTTTTTTTTTTTTTTTTTTTTTTTTTTTGCTGTGGTTTATGAAAGGTGATTAGTGTCCTAAATTTCGGACACTGGGTAGATATGTATGGATAATCATAGAGGGCAAAAGAAATCGGTTTTAGTGTTTGAAGGAGATAGAGACAGTTTCATGAAGCCCTGCTACCTCTACTTTTGTAATGCTAGTCTGCATTTTGGATTCCTACCTCTACATTTGTCTTCCATAAAGTAAGTTACCTTACTTAATGATCAGAATGAATGTGAGGGTGGCATGTTATCTCCATTTTGCAGATGAGGAAAGTCAAACAGCTCTTACGTGGTGGAGCCAGGACTCAAACCCATGTGTGTCTGACTCCCACAGAAAAGAGCTAGCTGCTTCTCTGCTCCCTTCCACTCCACCCCACAGCCACATCAAACTGTAACCCAAATCAAAACCAACACACCTGAGAGCTGGATTCACCTGACCTTTTCTCTCAGTCTAGGAGCCATGTCCACCTTGTTTCCCTCCCTCTTCCCCCGTGTGACTGAAACGCTGTGGTTTAATCTGGATCGGCCTTGTGTGGAGGAGACAGAGCTGCAGCAGCAAGAACAGCAGCATCAAGCCTGGGTGAGTGAGCACCTAGCACCGTGGTGAGCCTCAATCAGGGATTTCCCTTCACTGGTTAAGATCCAGTCTTACTCTAGAGACCTACCCTGGAAGAGCTTTTGCTTTGAGCTGAGAATAATCAGGCTGGGAGCTGGGTTCTCATCTTTGTGTCACCCTAATTTTCCACGGGACCACGGGACTTCTGGGCCAGATTGGAGCCCAGGTTCTTTTTCAAAAAGCATAGAAATAATAATTTTGACTATTTATTGAGGACCTAGCAGATGCCATGTTCTAGGCTGATAGTCTTTCACTTCATCCTCACCATAATCTTATGAAAAAGTCAAGGCCCAGAGAGTTTATGTAATTGGATCAAGTTGCAGATGACAGGAGAGAAAGGGATTGAATCTTCCTGAGAACTGGAAGCTTCTCCATCACACTCGGGGGTGTGGGTGGGGGCGTCTTCTTGTGGGCAGAGGGGTCCGGTCTCATGCTCCTGACTTTCCCTGCTTGGGCCCTGGCCCTGCTTTTCTTCCCCTTTGGCTACAGCTCCAGAGCATTGCAGAGAAAGACAACAACCTGGTACCTATTGGCAAGCCGGCCTCAGAGGTGAGTGGGGTCCAGGTGGACTAAGGCTCTGCTCTAATTCTGAAGGTCTTGCCTCTGACTCCAGAGCAGTTGTGATCCTCAGCTCTAGAGGGGGTGGGCTTTGGGCCCAGAACTAAGGTCCTGCAGAGCATGCACCAGCCTGCTAGACTTAAGCAGGGTTGGGGAGTAGTGGTCATTTGTTGACTCTAGAGAGAGGCTCCAAGTAGGCTAGCCCTTAAATTGGTCCAAGAAGGCTGTAGAGTCTATAGGCTCTCCCTTGCCTCACCAGCACTATGATGATGAGGAAGAGGAGGATGAAGATGACGATGAGGATAGTGAAGAGGACTCAGAGGATGATGAAGACATGCAGGACATGGACGAGATGAATGACTACAATGAGTCACCTGATGATGGAGAAGTCAATGAGGTAGGCAGGGGTGTGGGAAGGGCCCCTGTTCCTGGGCCCCTGCCCCTGACCTAATTGGTGGCCAAGGGGTGCAGAGACCCTGGATCCAGCCAGGAGCAGGGTCTGGGACGGGCTGGCTGGGTGGCTGAGGCCCCTCCCCACCCACACCCAGCCTCCTCTCCAGGTGGACATGGAAGGCAACGAACAGGATCAGGACCAGTGGATGATCTAAATAGACAAGGCAGAGTGGCCTCAGGGAGAATCCAGGCCATCCCAACCCACTCTGTGACTCCTGCAGAACCAGCTGATCACCCCAGGACTGGAAAGTTCACCCTCAGGCACCTCCTCAGCTGCTGCCAGGACGTGGTCTCCTTGGCCCCTCCAGGGCCATCAGCCTGCCCTTGAATCCCCAGGACCCGAGTCCACCGCACCTTTCTGGCGTAGTCTCTTTCTAACTCTCTTTAATAAAGACACGGGGCTGATTTCTCCCTTCCCCCATGTCTATTCTCCCCCCACACTTTTTTTTTGGTGGGGTCCAGAGGAATCCAGCATCTTTTCTTGACCTTTTGGGAGAGGGCATTTAAGGGACTTCAGGGAAACCTACCTGGCCATTGGGCCAGGGCTAGGGAAGGCCAGGGCCCAGGCTTCACTGCCTTCTGCTCTAGTTTACATTGCACCAGCCATTCCTGCAGGGCTTCTAACTCAGAGTTTACTGTTTCTTTTAATTCTATCCACAATGTCATGGGCTGGGGAGGGCAGGCTTTTTGTGTTTCAGAGCTAGGAAGCATCTAAAACTCTTCCAGCCAGTTTCCTTAAGAGAGCAGATTAAGTCTCAGAGCAGGGCAGGGACTCCCCTGGAGCCACCCAGCAAATCAGCGACAGAGCTGGGGTGGGAGCTCAGGCCTTTGCCGGTCAGTTCCTGGCTTTTTCTGGAAGCGGTGGGACCAAGCAGTCAGACAGAACTTGATGCCTCTGGTGCATAGGGCAGAGGTAGGAGGAGAGTCTCCCCAACTCCAAGCCCAGCGTGTGTCAGGCCACAAGCAGGGAGGGGAAGGGATGTTCTGAGGTCCTTGCTTGGGTGGGGGTGAGGTGGGCAGCAGTTAGTACCCCTGGGCCTCGACCTCAGCCAGGTCCCGAGTAGGTGAGCTGGGCTATGCCGTCCTTAATGGCAGGAAAGTCTGGGAGGCCAGTGTGATGGAGGCGGCAGCGGTAGCGGCCACAGCTCTTGGCGTACTGCAGGAAGCGGGGGGCACCAGGGAAGAGCACGTGGTCCGCCAACACAGTGGCACCAACTGGCAGCAGAGCGTGACCCTCCAGAAGCTGCAGGTCCCGCAGGTAACATCGGGGCCGGTGTGCCAGGAGTACCAAATCTACTCGACTCAGCTGGTACTGGGCTCGTAGGCTCGTGATCACCTCCTCTGAGTTACCCACGATGAGCTCCACCTGTGGGGGTGGGAGGAGCTGGAGGTTAGGGCGGGACACACCAGGTTTATCCCCCACCAGACCCCATCAGGATCTGGCTTCCTTTATGCCAGGTCCTTGTCTAGATCCCCACCAGTGTTCTCACATTTCCTCTGGCTTCAGAACCCAAGAAGTCAGGATCAGTATTGTCATTTTTATTTCTTTTTGTTTTGTTAATTAATCCTCACCCAAGGTAATTTTTCCATTGATTTTTTTTAGAGAGAACGGAAGGGAGGGGGATAGAGAGAGAAACATTGATGTGAGAGACACATTGATTGGTTGCCTCTCATATGTGCCCCAACCAGGACTGGGAATTGAGCCTGGGACCCTTTGGTCTTTGGGCCAATGCTCTATCCATTGAGCCACACCGGCTAGGGCTAGTATTGTGATTTCTATTCAGCCAGTGAAGAAGCTGAGATCCAGAGGAGAAGTGCTTTGCCCAAGGTCTCATACCTAGTAAGCGGACTGAGATTTGCTGGACTGAGAGACTTTCCTCTTAACTGCTTCTTTGTCACTCGGCAGCAAGTATGTGCAAATGACTTGGAACAAGAGTTCACACCGCCTCCAGGGTCACAGTTCCCTAAGTGGAGCGGCTGCTTTCTCCCAGGTGGGATTCCTCCACAGGGGAGGCCTGGCCAGGACAAGGCCAAGGGAGGAGGCCAGAGGTGGGGAGGTGGGGGCTGACCTTGCGCTCGTCGAAGCCAGCCAAGCGGATGAGTTTTTCAGCCACCACTGCTGTGCGTGGGTCCCGCTCTACAGTGAGAAGGCGGCTCCCAGGGGGCAGGGCCCGGGCAATATGCAGTGTGGAGTAGCCGCAGTGGGTACCCAGCTCCAGCACACAAGCAGGGGCCTTTTCTTCCACCAGCCGTATCAGGATCTGACCTATGGGAAGAGATAGCTATTACGGCAGACATGGGAGATGGGTTTTAGGCCACAGAAAGAGATCTCAAATGCCACCTGCAGCTCCCAACCAGCTGGAGTCTTATCTCTCTCCGACTAGTCTCAGCTGCCCGTGGTACCCCTTCTCCTCCAGACTTCCCAGGCTTCACACCAGCCACTAGAAATCTTTCTAAAAAAAAAATAAATCTGACACTATCACTCCCTGGTTCCTTGATCCTAAGGCCTTGGGAATTGAACTTGGGATTCTCAGCCTGATACACAGGACCTTCTTGGAACTGATCCTGTCTTTCCAGTTTCAGCTCTCTGTAGACCGTACCACAGCCATCCCAAACAACTGTGCCCAGGATCAGCCATTCTGGCTCATTCCTTCCTGTCAACATTTGTTATGTGTCTAACTTTGCCCTCCCAACCCTATCCTTGCCTGTCTGGCCAACTCAAAAGCAATCCTTCTAGGCTGTTGAACTGTTGCTTCCTCCAGGAAAGTCCAGGCAGAAACAATCACAGGGCTTCTGAGAGACCCATCTTCTAATCTCTTGAAGGAGCTTTGCTAGAACTTCCAGTTTAATTTCCCCTTATTTGTTCTTTGAATATCTTTCTAACCTTGGTACTGGACCAATTTTTTTTTTTTAATATATTTTATTGATTTTGTACAGAGAAGAAGGGAGAGAGATAGAGCGCTGAAAACATCGATGAGAGAGAGTCATCGATCAGCTGCCTCTTGCACACCCCTCACTGGGGATATGCCCGCAACCAAGGTACATGCCCTTGACCGGAATCGAACCCGGGACCCTTCAGTCCCCAAGCTGACGCTCTATCCATTGAGCCAAACCAGTCTTGGCTGGACCAATTTCTTAAATAAGACTGAAAGACTTGTGCTGGGAGCTGGGACTCAGACAAATCCAGGCAGGGAGCATCTGTGGCTGATTCACCCATGTGGCCTCTATTTTCTTCTCCCCCAGCACACTCCTGGTACAAAAGAGGTGGCAATAAATTTTTGCCAGATGAATTAACTTTGCCCATCCCCCTCATTTCCAGAGGAGAAAAAAGAGACCCATAGAGAATCAAGAACCTGCCTAAGTCACCCATTAAGGCAGTGGCAGATCCCAGCTCTTCCTTCACCATCTTGGGGGGTTGCTTCCTGGAGCAGAATGCAGGGAACACTGACCTTTGGCAGGCCCCATGTGGCTCAGGTACTCGCAGTGACTGCTCCAGTGGTCCAGGGTGGTGAGGATTTGAGTAGGGTCCCCAGGCAGGGCGTGGGTGAGCACATAGCTGAAGGCCCGTTCCTCAACCCGCAGCCCTGACAGGTAGTCTCGGAGGCTCCGCAGCAAGACCGTGTGCACCAGAAGTCGGAAATGGTGCCGGTACCGCACCAACAATGTCACCACCAGTGGCAGGAAGGCTAGTGCGATGGCAGGAGACATGGTCCCTACCTGGTCCTGGTAGGGGTCCTGAGGTGGAGGGAGACAGTGAGGGAAAGCCACACCTGATATTTGCCTGTCTGTGCAATCCCTAGTAGTAATGATTATCCCTATATTTTACAAACTGTGGCTCATAAAGGTTGTCTTCTGTCCAGAGTCACACAGCAGGACTAGGATTTGAGTCTGAGTTGGTCTGATCCCAAGCCCATGTACTTTCAAGGACCCCATGCTAAATCCAGAACCTAACCCCAAAATACCTCTCCCCACTTCCAGCTCCTGGTCCCACCTGCACCTTGCTCCCTCCACCCATTTCCCTTCATCTCTGTTGTCACCATTCTTCAGAACTTCTTTCACCAGTTCCCTTCTGACATATCCTTCTCCTGCCCCTACCCCTGCCTGTTTGGTCTCCTCTGACCCATTACTGTGTAGCAAAAAGGCACAGCTTTACATCAGAAACCCCTTCACTGCCATTGTTTTGCCTCAATAAAAGGCAATCAAAACACTTACTCCACAAGGTATTAGGATAAGATGTCCTTCCCACCCCAGGATTTTTCTCCTGTGCTTCCCTAGGGCTGAGAAGAGTCCTTGATTCTATATTTCTTTTCAGTCCTATCTCCTTCCCCCTACAGCCCCCTCTTTTCTCCCTTAGAATTCCCTTCACATGTGCATACACAAAGCACACACTTTCTCCTCACTCAGCCCTCTTCCCCCCAGCCGGCTATGAGCGATAAGTTTCCTGTTTTCTTCCATGCCCTTTTGAGGCCCCTGGTAGTGATAGAAAATAAAAATGAAAGTAGGAATGTATGAATGGGTTAGGGATGGCAAATTTGAACCGGTGTGCTTGGGAACCCACACTCAAGGACCCTGCTTACCTGGGCTGGCGGCTCCTGCTTGAGGAAGATCGGAGCATAGGACAGAAGGGGGAAGTCCTTGGAGGGTAGGGGTAGAATCCTGAGGCAGGCTGGACTTGCTCTCAATTATTGATGCTGAGACTGCTGATGTCACCTGAAACCTGCAGTTCAAGTTACTAACCCAGGGGCAAGCTGGAGCTGCCTCCTACCCTTCAGGAGCCCTCAGCACTTAATAAGAACTCCATGGTCTTGATTTGAGGGACAAAAGAGCTATAGGTCTTGGTAGCCTCTCCTACAATCCTTTGGATTAGCACATGGGGTATGATGTGAGCCAACGTGATGGGGAGGTTGTAATTTATTCATTAATTCCAAATTTGAGTTTTCTCTAAATAAGTACTAGGGAGTGGGTCACAGAAAAGAGATTTTGTCCCTGCCCTGCAAGAACTCCATGTTTTTTGTCGATGTTGTGTTTTGTTTTGTTTTGAACTCCATGTTTGGTAGAAGAAATTGGTGCAGAAACAGTGAATACAAGAAGTCTTGGCTGTTTTGTGAACTGCTACATAAACTGATACAACAGTATGTACATATTGCAGATATTCAGTAAAATTTGATTTAATAAATGAATGATTTAACACAGAATAGGGATTAAGCACAGATGTACAGAGACTAAAGTTAGAGAAGGGAATCAGGAGGGCATTGTTGAATCTTGAACACAGAAAGCAGACCTAGTGGGGAGACAGCGTGCTTGGATACAGGTGCAAGTCCAGGAAGTCAATCAAGAAACTGCTATGGCCAAAACTGGTTTGGCTCAGTGGATAGAGCATCCACCTGCAGACTGAAAGGTCCCAGGTACAATTCTGGTCAGGGGCATGTACCTTGGTTGTGGGCGCATCCCCAGTGTGGGGTGTGCAGGAGGCAGCTGATCAATGATTCCCTCTCATCGATGTTTCTAACTCTCTTTCCCTCTCTGTGAAAGATCAATAAAATATATTAAAAAAGAAAAAAACTGCTATGGCTGGTGAGGCATTTCTCCAATCCCTGTACCACCACCCTCTGGGCCTGGAGTGGGAAGCAGTGTTAGAACCTGCAAGATTTTGAATGACAGACTTGAACTTATTTTCAGGGTCCTAGGGAAGGTTCTAAAAAAGCAATGATGGTGAGCTTTGTGTGTTCCATAATAGGACTGCTATAAAATGGCAGGATTGAAGATAAGTGCCTAAGGGCAAATAGATCAGTAAAGTGGCCTCTCTCTCCACTACTAGGACTAAGCTCCACTCCACTTCCACTTGTGAAGGTGTAAGGTCCCCGGGCTTGCCCCTGAGTAACTGGGGCCTAAGTGTGTGCATCCCACTCGCCCCTCGAGTGGTATTTAGGAAATCACATCATGATGTACTTGGTATAAATTCGCTCACAGGTCCACAAATGTAGACTGGAGGCCCCACGACCACTCAAGACCCTCTATGGCTTGCAAAAAATTAGGAGCTGAAGTCATGTGACCAGCCCCTCCCTGCGCTCCCATCACGTGTCTTGCGGTTTGTCACGCAGGGTACGCCTTCCTATTGGTTGGAAATGGTCACGTGGCGGGGGCTGGACCGGAAGTCGGGGTTTCAGGGGCGCCGCGGCAGCGAAGCGGCTCTGGAAAGGGATAGTCGTGGAGGCGGGTAGTTGCTTGCTCATTGCAGCCACGGGTCATGTGACCGGAAGGGCTCCTCACGGACGCCGTCCCTCCTCACGGCCTGAGCGCCCGGCCCGACCCCGGCCATGGGGTGCTGCTACAGCAGCGAGAACGAGGACTCGGACCAGGTGCGGCCGCGGCGGGCGGGGCTCGGGAATGAGGGCTGAAACGCTGGGGCATGGGGCTCAGAAAAAAACCCTGCAGAAGAAGGGGGAGTTGGACGGCGAGGCTCGCTGAGTACGGAGACCCGGAGGGGACATATTACAGAGGAGACGCCGGGCCGGCCTCTACTGTTAAAGCCCCAGTTCTCTCTGTACAGTCACCGTGTTGGGGCGTGCAGTGGGGGTGTGCTGGCAGCCGCTTATCTCACTTGCTCTTCCACCCTTTCACCTCACCTACTTTCAGACCTTTACAGCTTCAAGGATCCTTAGTCTAGGTCCCTGGGAAGCACTCCCTTCTCCCCTCCCTGCGCTTGCATTAGCGGGCTTTGTGAATCCGTTGTAGAGGTGGGAAAGCTGAGGCTCAGAGTTAGTTCGTCCTGAGATAAGTCAGGAATCTGCATATTCTCTCAGTCCCTGGGGTTGGAGAAGGCAGCTGATGTCTAGGGCCAGAGGAGGCCTCTGGAAGGTGGTGGCATTTGAGTTAGTGAAGGACTTATTAATAGGCACAGCGAGGACATCAGGATGTGTGGGAAATTATTTGGGAAGTAACATCAGGTTTACGTTTGGCTGGACTGGGACGGCAGGAGGCGGGTGGTGGTATGGGATGGGGAACTCAGTTTTGACTGTTTCAGTGCAGTCCCTACCTGGGCCTGATGGTTCCTCTAGCTAGAGGGGTTCTTGCCCTGGGAAGTTGGCTGTAGATCACATCCCTTTACAAGAAGAATTATCTTGGGGGAGACGTGTGCAATTTTAAATTATCCCTCTTCGTGCATTTTCACACCATACTTTTAATTTTTTTAAGAGAGAGAGAGAGAAACATTGATTGGCTGCTTCCTGGTGATCTGGAGCCTGCAACCTGGACATGTGCCCTGACCATGAATCAAACCAGCGACCTCTTAGTGCATGGGTCTGTGCTCAACCTCTGAGTCACCAGCTGGGCTCACACCACACTAATTCTGGTCCTTCCCACCTGACCTCCTTTGAGAGGGAAAACCCTTCCAAGGATGCAGTCTTAAGCTGTTGGCCCCTCACTTTTGATTGCTTCTGTGCCTGGGTTCCACATCTCAATATATACTAGACACAAAGACTGTAGAAAGGTTTCAGCAATGAGCCCACAGTCTGGTTGGGTAGATGGTGGCAGAAATGGATTATGTCACTGGTATTTGGGAGGAGGTCTTTTTCCCGTGACTCATATGAACCTCTTGTGGGTTAAGGATTTAGGCTTGGGAAAATGTCATTTGTATGGGAGGCATGGGTGGTTGAACACAGTGAACACATAATCACATTTCCTCTGTCTTATGTTAGGCATGCCTCTGACAAAACCTTTCATGTCACCCCAGCCTTTTAAAGAGACAGTATCCCCTACTACTGAAGAAAGTTGTGGCTTATGGGAAATTGTCTCTTAAAACATAATATGGACTCTTTCTGGCAATGACTCACGAAGGGTTAATGCCTGCCTTATGAGAAAGGATAAACCAGCTTTTAGCTGGAAGAGTTGGGCTTGTTGCTCTCCTCTATCTCCTCCTTGCCTTTGATGGGGTCTTCTTTTCCTAAATCCCAAAGGCAGTGATTGGTCAGTGCTAGGTGATTTGAGACCTCAGATGGCAAAAGTCTAATTACCTGGTCTATAAGCCAAAATCAATTCGCTATCAAAAAAATCCTTCTTTGAGCTCTTGGGCTGGCTCCTCTTCCCCTCTCATCACTGCCACGTTATTATAATAATACAAAACATGCACAACATATTTCAGTTTTCAAAGCCCTTTTACAGTTATCTCACTTGACTTGCCAGACATTTGTCATAAGATACCAGTTATGTCTATTAAAAGCCTAGGTGCCCTTGCAGGTAGCTCAGTTGGTTAGAAGGTCATCCCAATACACCAAGGTTGTGGGTTCAATCCCTGGTCAGGGCATATGCAAGAAACAACCAATGAATGCATAAATAAGTAGAACAAATCAATAAAAATCAAGGAAAAAGTTCACAGAGGCTAAGTGCCTTAGCAAAGGTTACAAAGCTGAGAAGTGCCATAGCCAAGGTATTTTGATGTCAAGCCATGTGCTCTATCCATTGGATCAAACTATTTATTCTAGATGACTAGTCATAGGCAGACCACATATGTGTCTATGCTAGGGTAGACCGTGAAACACTCCTGGGTTGACATTGACTCAGAAAAAAATTGGGTGTAAAAACCTCCCGTGTTCCCTGTGCTCTTTGTGGGTGAGCCAATGTTAGTGTCCTCTCTAATGGGAGCAGTGTGGCTTCTGGGAGGCTAGGTCTCAGGAACCCATGGGGAGAAACTACCCTGTTCTGCAAGAAGGTCTGTCTGAAGTGGGGCTGGAGGAAGGATGGACACAGGAAACAAACTCAGACTTCAGGATGGAACCAGCTTTTCTGATAGTTTAATCTTTGGCAAGTATTTTGTCTTCCTAGCACTTCAGTACTTAGCCTGTCCTTTAGGAATGGAAGTGTCTAGAACCTGGGAGGTAATGGAGCAGAAGCTCACAGCTTCTGTCTCATGCTGCTAGGAGCTGTGAACACTTGGGCAATCTAGGATTGAGCAGTAAGAGTCATGTGACAAGACTGGGCCTGCGTAGGGTGGGGCAGGCCTGGCAGGAGGAAGTGGCCCTCTACCAGGAGAGTTGGGCAGAGACGTTGGGAGCCCGCAGTGGGGAAGTCAGTGGTAGGAACTGAGATAGACCTGGAGTGGAACCCTGAGGGGTCTGGTGGTCTGGCACTACCAGTTGGTGAGTCAGCGTTAGCCAGGATAGGCTCCTTGTCTTTGTCCCGAGCACCCTCACTCTGTGGCTTGGCTAGGTCCCCAACAGGTTAGCTTATCCAGTTTGCAGCTGACACAGAGCCAGCAGGGATTTGCAGCTGATGGGCTCAAGGCAGGGTTGTATCCAGAAATATTAGAACAAGGAACTGAACTGGGACAGAGTTATATATAGAATTATACACGCCCAGGGAGACTGCCCCAGGTCAGTTCTGGGGGTTGTGATCATCAGTGTGGGCTAGTGGTAACGGGGCTGCTGATCGTTAATGAAGCCACACTAACAGGTGTGGCGCCTTAGCAAGGGAGGGAACAGCTCGCTTGGTTCAGGCAGGATTCCCAGGTGCATCAAGTTTGGTCCTGGGAGTCTCATATAAAGAGCATCAGAGCAGAGGAGGTGAACACCTGAGAGGACAGGGACCTGCCCTCAAGAAGGAAGCACACTTAGCCTGTGTGACCCAGAAGGTGAGGCTGGAGCTCCTGCCCTGAAATAATACAGGAATGGGCATGGGGAGCTGGGGTGTGTTTTCTCTTTGAGCTTAGGGCCATGTCTGGCCTCAGGGCCTCTACCCTGGGAACAGGCAGCTTTGCTGTGGAGGGCCTGGTTTGGGGAATCAGGAGGGTCACTGGGCTCCTGGCTTGCATCAATTTCCCTGTGGACCACCTGTTTTTGGTGTTTTCTACCTCTTCTGGCTTTCAGCCTGCAGTATTCTGTCTCCATAAGTTGCTGGACTATTTTCTAAAGCTCCAGGGCTGTTACCTTATACCTCTTTTGTGCCTCTGTCCATCTTCTCAGGGCATCTGCGACTGTTTGGGTCCACTGTACCTTGTCCTGAACCTCCGAGCTGAGCTTCAAAGGGCAAGCAGGAACTTATCGGGCACATACTGGGGCCTTGGGATATTCCTGATAAAAATATTTTTGGTGCTTAAATGTCAGAGTTGGGCTGAGAAGAGAACCCAGGAAAGGCAGGTTGGACTAGGGGCTCCAGGGCTGCCTTCTCCCTGATGATCTCTCCTAGGACCGAGAGGAGCGGAAGCTGCTGCTGGACCCTAGCAGCCCCCCCACCAAAGCCCTCAATGGAGCCGAGCCCAATTACCACAGCCTGCCTTCCGCTCGCACAGATGAGCAGGCCCTGCTCTCCTCCATTCTTGCCAAAACAGCCAGGTGAGCAACACAGAACCAGGCCTGGGGCAGAGCTCCTCTCTGTGTTAAAGGCTGGACTCGAGAGAGCTGACCCAGGACATGGGGGATAGAACACGGTCAGTG